GTGGGCTGGACGTGCTCGCGTGTGCGTCCCACAACCAACCACTGTCACCCCCCCCCCCCCCGGTGCCTCCCCACTTTTCTTTTTCTTTTTTTTTTTTTTCGCTTGGGGTGTTGAGGGTGTAACAACCGAGAAAAGGGGGGGGGGGGGGGGGGGGGGGGGGGGGGGGTAAAGGAAGCGCACTGTCGGCCTCAGGTTTGTCAGTCAGATGACTATTTCGAGCTACCGACAGAAAATAAGGACTCTTTATCTTTACCATTTTTCTGGCGCGCGGTGCGTATTAAACTTTTAGTGTTTCCACCGCGGCGTTTAGTCGAAGGTGGCGCTTATAATATTTCCATATCACATTTCTTAAATCACTTACAACAATTACGATAAATCATTTGTAAAAAGTTTGAAAAACAGAACGATTTTTTAAGTTTCAATGTCTTGCCCTTTTGGTGAAACAGAATCGAAAAACGAAGTTGAACCGAATTTGTTCTTATAATCCCCGAATAAACGCCGCATTATTCTGATTGGGTGCGGCGTTTCTTTCGTAATGGTGTTTCCATCTGCAGCGTTTAATCGAGTAAATAAGGTAAGCGTTGGCGTAGGCAAAAGCACAAGGATCAAAATTTTCCAACTCCTGTGTCCCTCGACTGACTGAGAGAAAAGAGAGGAAAAAAGAGACGACTGCTCGTGGTGTCTATATCCTGGGTTGCGCATGTGTCGGTGTTTGCCAAAGTATTCGTTTAACTCTATTGTATTTTTGACGCTACAGAAAACCAGGCTTTATTTCACAGATGGCTAACTAGACGATAACGTTATTTAACTCCGTGATAAAAGTGCACCGAAACGGGAAAATAAATCTCATAAAGAAAAGAACCGTCCCGTTAAAATCTTACCAACAGTCAACTTTGATGCATCTTGCTGCCAATCTCTTTTTAACCGCAACAGTTCTTGTTCCTGTTTTGGGTTAAAACAACAAAATAGGAACATTACGTTAGGTTACGTTTTTTAGTGGAGCTCCTTGCTCGGCTAAGACAATATGGTAATCTATCCATCCGCGAAAATTTTTTATGACGTCAGCGTAAGACCGAACGCTGGCCATACAGACTCTGGGGAGGGGGAAGGGAGTCAAAAGTCAGCCCGTCGGAGGACGAGTATGTTAAAGCTGAGGTGAAATTTTGCATTTCAAGCACCCCGCTCGTTTAGGCGGTAAATCACATGGCCGCCAGGACTTTTAGAGAGAAAAAAACAACAACAACAACAACAAAACGAGTCTTTCTTTTCCCCAGATTTTAATGTCTTCATTGACTTGGATAACAGGGAAAGAGCTAGAGCGAAAAATAAATAACAATGGAGACCAATTTCGTTGGTAGAAAAACATGAAAATTATATAAGGGCGGTGAGAAAATGAGAAGTGCTTGCGGCTACCAAGGTGAAAGTGAGCAGCAGTGAACAAAAAAAGCGAACAGGAACACAAACATTTTCTCCATAAAACGTGTAAATAGGAAGTTAGGGCCTGTTTACATGGAGTGGGGGACCCCGGTCTAGTGGGGTTGGTTTCTTTTGTTTTCACGCTCTGGGGGACACAAAACAAAAGAAACTTACCCCACTAGACCGGGGTCCCCCACTCCATGTAAACAGGGTCTAAAAGTAGTTTTACGTTTTAGTCGTGCAAAACAACGGCAAGGAAATGTACAAAAAAATGTGCTGCACGTGCAAAGTCGTTTTTTGGCTAATTAGAGTAAAAAGTGTGCTGCACGTGCAAAATTGTTTTTTTTTGCTAATTAGATCTATTGTTGTTTTTTACCGTCCTCGTTGTTTGCAACCTTTCTTTAGTATTACTCGATTTTGTATTTTCTTTGAGGAATTTTTAAATATTTAAGAGAGCTTCGCTTTTAGCCTTGGCTAAATCTATTTATTAGATTTGCGCATTTTGTTCCAAAGAACGTCCATCATGCGACTCTAACACTGCCCGGTAAATGGTTATTAAAAAAATTAAGCTGTGGTTATAAAAAAGGCCACATTACCTTATTGGATAAAATCAGCAGAAACTGCTTCTTTTCCTCTTGTAATTCACTTAAATTCTACCGGATTATATAAAAGAAATAAGTCATTTTTGATAGTCAACAAATTACGCAATTGTCTCAACAGTAAGACCTAAGTAGATTACCCACAAAGCCTATGGTGATTTTAAAACCGTAGAGTGCCCCCTAAAAAATTATTTTGGAGGGAAGGAGCGGGTTTTCGGCGTGTTTCCGACAAAAGGCGATTCTCTAATCATGTTTCGTATCCCACCTAAAATATGTAATCCCATTTCAAAACACTCCAACAGGATTTGTTTGGAATACTAACATGGCCGCCGTTGTTTAGAACAACAACAAGGCCCCGTGACGTCATATGAAAACGCTCTATAACCGAGATGGATCTTGCTGGACCTTCAAAATTTAATAAGTCGCGTCTACTTAAAAACGTACCCAATACCATACCTCAGTCAACTTCTGTGTGCATTTCGACGCGTTAAATAGCACTTCATTTCGACAAAAAAGCCCGGATAAACGAGAGAAATCAGAGATTTTTAAACGAAAGAGGTGTATAAAAGTTTCTGACCTGAGAAAGTTGATCACGGTTTCTTAGTAGCTCCTCCTTGTTATTTTTCTCTTCTGTTAGTTGTTTCTGTAGAACAGAGTTCACCGACCTACAGGCTGCCACTAAAAGAAAAGCAAAGGGGAAAACATTTTCAATGAAGGCTCTTGTTGTCTTCAAAAAAGTGAAGTGAAGAACTACAATGAAATGAATTGTACATGAGTGGATGCCACTTCCACCTTTGTCCCGTCCTTGGCTTGTTTTCCCGCGCTGTGCGCTCTTGGCAGGGTGGCCTACTGCAAGTTTTCCCGCGCTTTCAATCAGTTATTTTTTTCTGCGCTTGGCACCGGATGGCCTACAGCAACTTTTCCCGCTCTTTCAACCAGTTACTTTTTTTTCGGCCTGGCACTACGCCTTATTTACGGATTACAAAGACTACATACCAATATCAGATCAGTCGAATGTTTTCCAAGTCACCGAAAACGGTTTACAAGTATTTTTTTTTTGTCAGTGCTTAACACTAGGAACAAAAACTTACATTCAAATGCTAAATCTGTCTTGGCAGAGGACTTATCTTCTTGTTTCTTCAATGATCCTTCTTTGAGCTTTTGGTGGGCAATAAGGAGTCTTCTACAAAGTTTCAAAATAAGAGTGAGTCAGTGAAAGAAAGTTCGAGGTATATTGGGAGGGGAGGAAAGTGTGTGACATCACAAATTAAAGAATTTATGAAATTCTGGGGTTCGTTGAGGTTCGACCCTTGTCCGCAAAAACTCAATAATTTTTCTTCCGTGTCGACTGTGTCATAATATCGCGTGTTTTTGTATTTATGGTGCGTAAATCAAAGTAGTTTTCGTTACTGAGACAAAAATTTCTACACTCTACAAATGCTACAAGAGCGTGGTAGCGAATCAGTTTGGGTTCACTACGACCATTCATAATTTCAAAAATGAAGTTCGCATACAAACCTTCGTAGTTGAGCGTTTTCGACTTTAAACGGCTTTACAGCCTGCTCGATATCCTGAACTGCAAACGCTGTTTTGTCTTTCTCCCAAAGATACGGAAGTAGTTTAGCTGCGTCATCTATTTCGTTCAACAGTCGATTTACTTCCAAGTCACCTATGAACAGAGTACACAGGGTGTTGAAAGCTGTTAACGATCTGGTCCCAGTTGTTCAAACGTTGGATAGCGCTATCTATCAGATAAATCACCATCCAGTGGATAAGTATTAGGGAAACAAATTGCACTATCTACTAGATAGAGATTTATCCGATGGATAGCGCTATCCAGCCTTTGAACAACCGAGGTCTGGCTCTGGTCTCTGAGTAGAGAGCGCTGTACACTCAAGACATGATATTCGGCTCAGGCAGCACTTGTACTAGTGAGTCGGTCATTAGGGCCATTTATACGAGGAAAAATAAGACGCGTCTTACGTAAGACGCGTCTTTAATAAGACGCGAACTGTACCATTTATACGAGCATGTCTTATCTAATAAGACGCGTCTTATTTTAGACGAAATGTGCCGTTTATACGGAAAGTTCGCGTCTTATTTAAGACGCGTTTTATGTAAGATGCGTCTTATTTTTCCTCGTATAAATGGCCCTAATGAGTTCTGATTCTCTCGCTACGCAAGGCAGGTAGAAAAGAACCCTGGGAACGAAGTTGGCACAGGTAATGCTTTAACATTCAGATACCAAAGAAAAAAAAAGCAAACAGCAAACGGTCTGTACTAACCCGTACTTCCAAGAAGCGCTCTAAGTTCATCAACAAGATACTGAATCATCCGCGCCTGGTTTTCAGCAGATGATGATTGCATTCTTTCCCCAGGGCTGGGTTTACCAGATACTGACAATGGAGGAGTAAGATGTCTGGTTGTTGAATCTTCGGATAAACCAGCCTGGTCGTCAAGAGATTTTGTGAGGTTTCGACTTGTATTTGGGAGTAATTCCTCGTCCACGTAAGATGAAGGAGTGAAACTAGGCGAAACAATTCTCACCCGTTTCTTGGGTTCAGGCACAGTATCTATCTCCAGTTGAACGGAATTATGGTCTCCTTGTTTCAAACTTTCATCATTGTGTTCACTGCCAACTAAATCCATCCGCCCCCCTGATCTAGAGTCATTATAGTCACTTTCCTGAACTTTTTGAACAGAAAATCCTGAATAATCCAGACTTCTTCTTGCTGACGTTTTTCTTGGATTTAAATTCGGACTTCCTTCCCTTTCTGAAATGTTTTCTGGTTGCGCTCCGGTTGAGCGTTGAGGTGCATCGCGTTGAAGTGAACTGTCTTCATTTTGTTGATGATTCTCCAGTTGTTGCATCATGGAATGTTGCAGTTGTAACTTTTGCTCCGTTTGGTGACTTGGACTTTGCTGTCTCTGAATTCAAAGAAATACACAAGACTAGTTCTTTATCAATCTCCTGAGCATTGACAGTCCTAGGCTCAATCTCCAGCCTTAAGTGCTTCCATGCGCAAGCGAGTTCAAGTCCCGCCTCAACCGATAGCTGAATTTGTTCTCGGAAGTCCAGAGTTCAAATCCTCGACCACGTTTGTAAACAATCAACTGGTTTGCCTCCAGTCAGTTGGGATTCTTAACCCTGTTATGCAAGTTTATGTGAATTTTTGGTTTCAGTTGTTTGTTCAAAGCCCTAGCCTTTGCGCTACAAATACATGTACTGCCGAGGGTAAATACAGGAATAATTATTTTAGAAGGGTGAAACGACAGCAACTTACTTGAAGCAGCTCATAACGTTCTTTGAGTTGCGCTAGTTCGTGTTGAAGTTCTGCTTCTCTTCTCTGCAGCTGTTGGCGTTTATGTCGTTCTTCTGCAGTAAGAACAGGTGTGGACGATACTAAACGATCATTGTAGGCTGTTGATCTAACAGCAACTTCTTCATGACGATGCAATGGTGATGGAGTGGCTGGATTGAAAAGCAATTAAACATGTAAGAACACGGCCTGTGTGGCAGGAGTTAACAAGGGAACAGGAGGGAGCAATCTGGGCGGAAACGGTCATCTCGCCACCACCAAGAAGTCGACTCGCCACCAAGTAATAACTCTGTAATCAAATTCGAATAAGCTTGGACAAGAAGGAAAAATTCTAGGTAAGTAATCCTAGGTCAGTAAACATGTCGATTAATGCAGGGTCATTACTTGGTGGCGATTTCGTTGGTGGTGAGATGATTTGGTGGCGAGATGCCCGTGAACCATTTGGGCCCCTGAAGAGGAGGGAAAAGGGGACCTTTCCTTGGGTGCGTCTCTCGCTCTCACGTGCCTGAATTCCCCTTCCCCTTTTCCTCTTAACACCTGACATGCAGGCTAGCCGGGGGCCAGATTTATAGCAGCCGGGGGAAATCCCAGCCCCCGCCTCTTAATGATAGCCCCGAATTTTCAGAGCCCAAGCAAAAACATTTAATAGATAAGGGGCATTTAAAAGAGCGTGAGCTTTATTCCCATAACTGTAACACTTAAGGAGTAAAACAGTTCACATGTTTGTACCTTTGTCTTCAGAGCTGGCAGTGGGGATCACAACTTTTCTACTGGCTGCTTTTGCCGTCTGTCTGTCAAAATTTCCTGGTCTTCCTATTGGTTGAACAGCTGGAACTTTTTTATTGGAGGAAGTGGCAGTTTTGCTCACACTTGCAACTCTTGAATGTGATGTACTATCTGAAAAACAAGTGTATTAGCAGGACATCACACTAGCAGAAACTACTCCTAAAGTTGCCTGAAACAAACCACAAAAAAGTGTTTTGAAGCCAGGGGGGTACTTTAGGAATCTTTGGGTAGGGGTGTGCCGCTGGGACCCTGGAAACCTTAACCTACACCAGAGCTAGTTCAGCTGAATTTTGCCACCCTATACTAGACTAAACTCCCTTAACATCCCCCTATCCTAGAGTAGCTTTTAGGCTGAGTGGCATAAATATAAATTTGCCGATTTGATTTTTTTATATTTTTGAGTGGCAATTCCGGGTTTCCCTAGTCTCTACTAAACTCTTCAACCAATTGATCAGTTTCCTGCAAAATGATACCCTATTCTAGACTTAAACACTTTGATTTATACACCCTATCCCAGAGTAAACTGCTTGAAAACCATACCCTTCACAGCGGCACATACCTACATAGCCAATATATGGCAGTACCGCCCCCCCCCCCCTGCCCCGGGGTTTTGAACTCCTGTGCATGCCTCTCCAAACCAACCACTGACCACTAGAAGCGGCAAACTTTAAGTCCCAATAGTGACAAAGATCAATTTTCTCTTAACGATATCCATACACTGTCAAGAGATAAGTTATGAGAATTAATAAAATGATCACCCAAGAGAAAATGCTTTGATCTTTTATCAAATTCTCACAACTAATTCTTTAAGGAAATGTATGGAGATCAGTTTGGAGAATTTCTATGTGGATAACGGGGCTTAAAGGGTTAAACTGCATTTCAAAATTATTCAAGCGTTAACAGGAATGAAACCTCACCTTTATCTTCATTGTCCAGTATATTCGACAGCAATGCAGCACATCTGTTTAAGCCTCTGTCAACTGCAGATGCCTATAAATGACCAACAATGTGGTATCTTAACAAATACTAGAAATGAGTGGTTTGAATACTGAGGTTGTCATCTAGGGTTTGGGAGAGGGGATATTACCTGGCCGGATTGTTTAATGAGGCCCTATAAGGGTAAAATTCCAAAGAGCGAAATAAGCCAGATGAAATTGCAACAAATGATGTAGAGATGGGTATTTGAAACTGCAACAGTACCTCCTCATCCATATGCAAAGTGAATGTGGAAGGTAGTTGCTAAGAAGTGATCACCCGTTGAGGTTTGACTGTCAGCTCCCTGAAAAGATCCCAGAGAGACATACAAGGAAGATTCTCATCCTAAATGAGTTAATGTGAAGTACCTGGTCTTCAGAATCTGAGGTGTAAAGACTGTACCCAGGTTTGGATTCCTTGGCTGCACTTTTCTGTCCTTTCTGAACTCTGAATTAGTGTGAGGACAAAAAATAATCAAATCATCACAATAATTTATTTAATACTTCATCTATGATGATAATGATGATGATGATGATGATGACGATGTCGCATTAATAGAATAGAAGATAAGGACGCATGCATTCATCATGCTTTAAGAAAACAAATGAGGAAATTAATGAACCATAAGCTGAGGCTTCAATAAGCTTTTCAGATTATGCATAACTTGGAAATATTGCGCCCGAAAGGCTTACCTTTTAACCGCAGGAGGTTTAGATTTCGAAGCGAGGCCTCGAGCTACCAAGGATGCCTTGGACGCCTTAAACACAACAAAGAAAAATCAAAATGACTGTAAGGTTGTCGACAACAACAAACTTAGCAAGCTTGCGTAAATTGAATCGTCAATAGATTAATATTTTCACACGCGAGATTTAAGTAAAAAAGAAAGTGACCCTATATCAAGTACGCCAGTTTTAAAAAGGATCTAAGTACCTTTCCCGGAGCCCTACTTTTCATTCCTTAAAGAATCGAAGTCTATTTTAATATTTCGGTTTCTTCGTCTTTTGCCGCCATACGTCGCCATTTTGAATTGTTTCAATCCCCGCGAAAATCCGCTGCATGATCACATGAGCCCGCGTCATTACTTCAAGCAAAATGGCGGACGACACAAAGTGAAAAGTTGCCGATTTTTTTATTTTTCATCTCCGATCACTGTAAAGTATGGTCAGTGCAGACTTACTGAAAAAGGTAGCAATATGTGGTGCTGCTTTATCTTGTTTTGGAGCAGCATTTTTCCACCACAGAATACAAGGTAGTTTTAAAAATGAGAAATTAAGTTTCTGTGCCTAGCTATGGTCAAAGTTTGGTGTGATTGATCTCCCGATCTTTGTGGTAAGGAGTACCTGTCGTACCCTTTTGTTCCTAGTTATCAAACTACAAATTACTCCTTGACCAATGCATTACTACAGAAAGAGTATAAAGGATGACATGTGAGCATACTTTTTGGTATGATCATTTTCTGAGTTCTCTCAACCTGACTGGTTGATCAAGCATTCATCTGGTCTGGGAGAAACTCTTTGATGATCACTATCAGGTAAAGTGCCCCAAAATAAGTTGAAGTAATGTTAGGCTGAGAAAACAGCTGACATTTGGTGATGCTACCACTAGTTTCCCCGCCAAATGACGTCTTAGAAACGAGCGCAGAAATTCCATACTGAGGACATGTCGCTACCCAGATCAGGGTAGTGAGCCGTCATCAGTATGGAATTTCTGCACTCATTTTCTCAGACATCATTTGGTGGGGAAACCAGTGGTAGCATCGCCAAATTTCGGCTGTTTTCTCAGGCTAAAGTAATGTACATTTTCCTTTTTTAGCAAAGATAGCTGCCCAAGATTATTACAAAAAATCTGTTGAGGTGCTTAGGAATCACCAGCTGGCATCAGATACTCTGGGGAAACCTGTTAGAATTCCTTATGTAAATCTAACAAGAAAGGACATCAGGCTTGGACGTGACTTTGCTCAGGCAAGTGAAATGTTCAGAGATGCCAACCTCTGGAGATCTAAAATCTGGAGACTCTCTATTTTGCACTGCAGCCCCCCTTTCCTTAGCCCCGAATATCAACAGCCCCCCTCTCTCAACCCCGGCCACAAATTTACCCTGCCGCCAAGGACATCGTATGAACAGCATACTGTCAAAATTCATTTTCATCATTGTAATGACAAAATATACCTTGTCAGTGACTAAATATGTGCAAAAATGTCCCAGAAACCTCGAAATAAAAAAGTACAAATTTTTAGGGAAAAAATGGGCAAAATTCAAACTGAAGCACAGAAAAGCTCAAAAGTCTATTTGATCCAGGAGATCTGGTGACCTGTACAGGAGAGCGGGAAATCAGTGCCATATACAGGAGACTCCTGGATAATCTTGGAGAGTTGGCATATATGAAATGTTCCTTTGAGAAGGGGGACTTTGAGTAAACCGTAAGAAAAACTGGCAAATACCGAAATAATAATAATTAATAATAATTTAATTCTTATATTGCGCGCTTTCCATGAAATGATCAAGCGCGGATTACATGATTTCTATCTATAATAACTTAATAAAGGGTATCTAACTACTAATTATCTAAAATATACTATGATAAAATTAAAATATACAACATATGTTAAAATACTAGTAATTATCGTGATAAAAATTAAAANAAGAAAAACTGGCAAATACCGAAATAATAATAATTAATAATAATTTAATTCTTATATTGCGCGCTTTCCATGAAATGATCAAGCGCGGATTACATGATTTCTATCTATAATAACTTAATAAAGGGTATCTAACTACTAATTATCTAAAATATACTATGATAAAATTAAAATATACAACATATGTTAAAATACTAGTAATTATCGTGATAAAAATTAAAAATTAATAAATTAATAAAAAGCTTCCCTAAAGAGGTGCATTTTCAGATGGCGCTTAAAAATATTAACTAGCTATTCAGATGGCACTTAAAAATCCCTAGGTCTGTAATAGAACGAATCTCACGAGGTAATACATTCCAAAGTGCCGGAGTTGCAACCTGGAATGATCCATCCCATCCCATGTTTAAATCGACAAAATACCAATATCACATATGATCAGTCGTGCTAAATGTAACGTGAGCACATGTGAAAATCACCCCACGCTGCATCTCGCTTTTCTTGCATGGGGTGACTTTCACACACTCGAGTTTCACTTGCTCTACTTTCCCTGAGGGAAAATGAGGGACTACTTGTAGTCTAAGGGGGATGGGCACCCAGAAGAATAGGGGGTGGGAGAAGTATGAGAGGGGAGCGGAAGAGGAAAGGCCAAGAGGTTGGAGTTCTAAGAGGGTAAGAACTGGAAGAAATGGGAGAAATCATCCAACGGTGCTTAACTGTTTAGCAGTTGAAAAAGGGTTAAACGAGGTAGCCTTCCAAGTTCTGGTCACTCAAAGTAAACAGACACTTCTAAAATTTGGGGATTACTTAATAGCATCATTATTTATTGTGGTTAGTGTGACAATATTTTCTCTTCTTACAGATAGTTATTCCAGTTAGAGGAAGCAAAATCTCAGGGAATTTATATTCATTTGCTACAAGGAGGGGAGAGGAAGGGTATGTATTTGATTACTTGGGTCAAAATAATATAATTATTTCTAGCAATCATAGGTAGTCCCTGGGATTGGATCAAGAGGAAGCAGGGAGCTTCAGTAACAAGGATGATGAAGGTGATGAAAACATCCCTTACAAAGTGAATTCATGCTTTCCCAAGTTGCTCAATTCATCAAATGTTGGTGAATTTTTCTGGGGTTACATTCTAAAGACCTGTATCTAAGTTTCAATCTAGAATTTGAAAATTTTGTATTGTGTCCACATCCTTTTCAACATGTAAATTAAGGCAGTTTTAATTTCATGTCATGGTTATAGAATGACAACAAAGACGTTTACAAAAATGCAATGAACTTACGAAGTTATTGTTTTGCTAATCTAAACCTATTGCTTTTTTGTCATTCTCATCATTGTTGCTTATAAGCTCCCTGAGGGTTGATTTCTAGGGTCGCATAATTTTTACGTGAGTACGTGGGTAAAATTTACGTTCGCAAATAAAATGGAGACAATGCATGAAAAATTGCTTATAAGCATAAAAGTTGAACCTTGCTCAACTTCTCATTTAAGTTCAGCACTTTTTATCTTGCCTCTGTTTTATTTACGTGGTTAAAATTTACGTGTGTTAACTTGCGTAGCCAAAACAGCATCAGTGGAAATCAACTTTTTTATTATTTTTGCTTTTACTGTTTGACAGATCATTTCATATACACACCATTTTAATCGTGGCATACATTGATACAATTTGTAAACAGTCCATGCATTTCTGTTTTTTTCTTTCTAGGTGGGTACTAGAGAGAGTAGAGCTTGAAGCAGGGCCAGAACATCCCAGAATAAAAATTGTACCAGAGGATTGATTTTCAGGGATTTCCAAGAATGAAGATAATGGAGGAAACCTGAATGGCATTCTGAGGTTTTTCCCATGATGAAGAAAGCGTTGCCTAAATACTGGAATTTATTCCTTTTAACTGTGTTATGGCATTCAACACTTTGCACTACAAAAGGTGCTGCACAGGACAACCACTTTGTGGTTATATGAAAGTGAAAGACAAACTGTATGCATCAGAGATAAACAGTGTTCAATGGAAAAATCTTTTATTTTCAAGACAAATGAAGTCTGAGAAATGAGCTTGAGAATTCCATTATGATTAATTCGCTAAATAAACAATATGTAGAAAATTTATCATTCAAGAAATTTTCTCATTTTTTGCACAATTTCATTGAAACAATTGTTGGAGAGAATATCTGCAAAAAGTTAACTGTCATATTATAACATTATGCCAGCTATATTTGGGAGTTTCTAACAGGGACGTTGTCAGTTACCAGTTAAGAAAAATGCAAAAAAGCAAGTTTACAGACAGATGTACTGTTATAATGCATTTAAGCTGAGAAAAAGTTTTTGTAGAGGCATTTTTTCCTATTAAACTTGAAAAAGTAACATCATTTTTCTGCATGTGTGTTACTTTTTGGTACATATCCTTGCCATCACTGCATGACTAGAATATGAAATTGCCCAATGCAACATTTTTCTAAACTTTGAATAATTTCCATCCCTAAGAATTCAGCTCCAGGAAAATTAAAATTTGCCTTCACAGTGTGCAAAGAAAGTCGTGTCCGACAGCCCGGGGCTAGAGGATTTTGTTATTGGGCTAGTGATTTTTGTTCTTAACTTGCCCGACGGGCAAGTGTTTGTTTTTGGGAATTCAAATTACAGATGGATTGTAATCAATCATGCTGATCAAAAAGGGTTTTGGGCTAGTTGAAATGACTTTTGGGCTAGTATATGCTAACTACAGCTTACGCGAATGGCAGCTGTAAAACTGACTTTCTTTGCACCCTGCTTCATTCGAAAAATTGAGAGTGTTGAAATTAGAGTGATACCGTAGTGTTCTAAAAGCAAAATAGGAAAGCACTAAAAAGTGCAGTTTTAGCTACTGTCAAAGCTCCCTAATGCCACCAAAAATCGGTCTCTATTTCAAAACAACTAAAAATGAATCAAATTCACCAGACCCATAAATAAGTGAGCTTTAATTTGCCACTTTAATTGCCATAGTCAAAATACAATACTGTATATTGATGCAGAAAAGTGACAAAATACATTACTACCGGAACTTTTGCTCATACAAAATTCACTACTTAAGTCAAAAACTAATGACAGCTATACAACCGTCTATGTTCTGTTGTTCCAGAAAATATCTATAAAACCTCATGACCCCACCATCAGTTCTGTTTATTCCACATTATTTAAATACAACAACGCCCTAACTTTAAGTATCTATCTGTTTTTCAGTATTCCCAAGATTCTCATGACAAAAGTCTAAGAAAAATATTATCATATGTTAGTATTCTTAATGCTCACCAAGTAGTTTCATAGTGTTCTTGGAAGTGTTAACATTAATGGAATACCGTGTGGCGTGATATTTTTGTGGGACTTTATTTTTGCAAATTGGCGATTTTTTGTATTTCGCAGGAACTAATGTTTGCGATAAGGACAGATTAGTTTCCCTCAATGGAAATTAATTATTGCAATTTTCAGAAGTCCTGGACAAATTATTGATGTATTTTTGTTTTTATTGAGTACATGCAATGGAAATACATATTTTTAAACAATACCATGGTGTGCGTAGCCTATGTAAAACCAGTGACAGTTTTGCTCTTCATGTTAATCATTTTGTTTCCAAACAAAAGAGACAAGTTGGAATTGAACAGACACAACTTCTTAGGACTGTATTTTTGTGTAGCGAATTTAAGTTAGAGAATATTTACTCTGGAGTAAAATGTTGTGGGAAAAATGTTTGCGGTAATTAATTTATGTGGGAACTTATTTTTGCGGATTGCTGGAAAAATCGCCAAAATTAGAACCTGCAAAAATTTTGTGCCACATGGTAACAATATTTCTCAAATAAAATAATCAAAAGACGACAAAAAAAAATACCCACACCTTAACACAACAGCATAGTGCTAACCAAACCAACAATACTGTGCCTTTTCCCTAGTAGAAATACAAACCAGCTTTTTTCACTCTCTTGAAGTAATATCCTGTGAATGTACCTCCCATCTCTAGTTAACTGTCTACCTTCTTTCTTGATGGAAAGAGTCCTTATGCATTGCTTCCAAGCAAGTTAGACTGCAAACTGCCAAAACTACCTAAGACTTACTGAGATTCACTGCCTTCTGTGCACAAGGATTTTTATAATTTTAAGCCCTTAAAATTGGCACCAGTAGCAAATCAACTAGTTCAATGCTGTGGTCATCCACAATGACAATGTCAAATGCATCCATGTAGTTGGAAAGATTCTCATTGACCTATAGAAAAAACACATGTATTTTCAAATCAAGAAACAGAAAAACTATTTAAAATGGTCAGATTTATTTTCCCCAGCTTGTCACAGTACAGCATATGAAACTGAGAACCCCAATAAGAAGAACATAATAAATTATTTAACTCTTTAAGTCACACGACTTAAGTTTCCCACCTTGTCATTTAAAAAGCCAATGGTGAGGACAACTTCAGGGTTTTTAGGGCTTGATGAAACATGGGTATCCTCTGGCAGGTCACCCATCACAATCACACTGGTGCGGTCCTGCAGTCAGTTAAAAAAACAAACAGTTAAACATACAATGTAGAACATTTGCTGCCTGGTTAGCCTGTTTGCTGAGTGGAAGGTGCTTCACACTCATGTCTAGCCCATGGCTTGGGCTACACAGCCATTCTTTGTGTCATCAAGGAACAATTCTTCCCACAAATGGGTGACAACCCAAAGAGTAGCTGCATAGGAGACTAACCCCTCTTAGAGTACTAACCAAAAAGGTTCAAGCAATTTTAAAAACTTTCTTTAATAGTCATTAGCCGCCACCTTCACCCTACAAATTTCTTTGACACAGATCTGTCTAGTTATCAATTATACATCGAGTAGCCACATTGCAAATGTACACTTGAAAATCATAAGATGAGACCTAGACGTTTCCTGGGAAGAGCCAAAAATGGCATGCCTAAAAGCAAGTTACCCTGGGATTTGCATGTACATAATGTGAGCTTTTCTAAAAAAAATTGAATTTGCTTTGCTAATAGAATTTAATATATACCCATAGATCCTTGAAGCCTCGTCACTCGTGGTTTATATTTTTTAATCAACAACATTTTTTCGATCACATTTAACACTGGCAGTCTGTTGTTTGTGGTGGGTGATTATTGACAACTTACCTTATTTCTGTTGAAAAATTCCAAATCTTTTGTCATCTCTCTTTTGTTGTTACTAAACAAAAGCTTGTCCTTGAATCCAACCATCACTCCCTGGTATTTTATAATAAGGAAAAAATCATCATTTATTAAGAAGCAAATTCAAAAATGTTTTGAAGTTCCCCGAAGTGACTCTTAACCCATTCGCCCCTGAACCGCCCGTAACCGCCCGTGCGGATCCAGGTCCTTTCTACCCTTTGTGACGTCATCAGTTTTAACGGTCAGGGACAACTTTCTTCGGTAACTTGTGCAGAGTGAAGAGATCTTTCAAACCATACCAGAATGACCACAATTCAGTCAAGGACACCGGAGAAAGAAGCAAAAAACCACGTGACAAGGACCTGAAAATCTCCATGAAAATCTTGTTCCATTACCCACCTACCTTTCCTTTCACCTAATCCTAAGATCCTAAAAGCTTTCCTAAAAACTCTTCCCACCAAAATGAAGCCTACTAAATGCCCAGCAAGAGAAAAAAAAAATGAGGCAAGAAAAGCGAAAAAAGAAGGGAGGAGAGAAAGCGAAAAGTAAAAGTCAAGACTGCTGTGTCACTTTTAAACCCAAAAACTATGTCGAAATTTTGCTTTCTGCGCATGCCCGAACTTCGCAAGCTGATATTTTGCATCTGGATCAGAAGGCCGCCAAGTGTACGACCTGTAGACCGGTTTGTGGTAAGTTTTAGCTCTTTATAGCACGACAGTGACCAGAAAACCACTCGACTAGCTTCAAAACGCGTTTTTCGGCAAAATCTCCAGGAGCGAATGGGTTAAGCAAAGTACCAAGCTTTTTGAAAAAAATCCACTTTTCAGCATAAAACAACCAAATCTGTCTATTTCAAGTAAAATCAGGTGAAAAAGTTGGTAAAAGGCCATTTTTAGGTTTTTTGATTAACCCATTCGCCCCTGAACCGCCCGTAACCGCCCGTGCGGATCCAGGTCCTTTCTACCCTTTGTGACGTCATCAGTTTTAACGGTCAAGGACAACTTTCTTCGGTAACTTGTGCAGAGTGAAGAGATCTTTCAAACCATACCAGAATGACCACAATTCAGTCAAGGACACCGGAGAAAGAAGCAAAAAACCACGTGACAAGGACCTGAAAATCTCCATGAAAATCTTGTTCCATTACCCACCTACCTTTCCTTTCACCTAATCCTAAGATCCTAAAAGCTTTCCTAAAAACTCTTCCCACCAAAATGAAGCCTACTAAATGCCCAGCAAGAGAAAAAAAAAATGAGGCAAGAAAAGCGAAAAAAGAAGGGAGGAGAGAAAGCGAAAAGTAAAAGTCAAGACTGCTGTGTCACTTTTAAACCCAAAAACTATGTCGAAATTTTGCTTTCTGCGCATGCCCGAACTTCGCAAGCTGATATTTTGCATCTGGATCAGAAGGCCGCCAAGTGTACGACCTGTAGACCGGTTTGTGGTAAGTTTTAGCTCTTTATAGCACGACAGTGACCAGAAAACCACTCGACTAGCTTCAAAACGCGTTTTTCGGCAAAATCTCCAGGAGCGAATGGGTTAATATTATTTATTATTCCACTGCATAACCAATTTCCTATAGGGTCACATGTTTGAACACGGCTGTCCTTTAGCTGGCCATTTGTTTCAGGTAATTCACTGAAATGCATGACCCTGAAGTCAGGGCTGTGGCCAGCCCATAGACTTATGGATACCGGTCTACAAATTTTGGGGTCGAGCAAAAGAACTCAAGAGCTCTGAGTGATGGTGAGGACAGTGTGTATTAGTCATGAGTGCAATCAACAGAATTTATATAAACAAGAAAGTTTCAGGATATTTGAAAATGAAGTTCCAACTAGCAGTCAGCCTGGCCTACAACAAGTAGAAAGCTGGCTACACCCAAGGAAGTTAAGGACTGGAGATTAAAGTAATGTTTGTAGAAGTAGTGCAAGATTTAGGAAGAGACTTAATAACCTGCTCATATTTGAAGAAGTTGGCCACAATGGTAACATTGTCATAGATAGTACTCTGTTGATCAATGACCTCCTTGATAATGTCTGGAAACAAAAACACGCGCAAACTTGTAAAAAGGCTTGAGAATAAAACAACCCCATACCTGGCTTTTGACTCGAACTCCCCACTCACTTAAACTTATTTTGCTTTCCCTTAGGCTTAATTTGCAGTAATATTTCTAAAATGTAATACCTGAAGCCATGCTAAGTCATGTTGCTTCTTATTTTCTTTGGGAGTTTAAAATGAAAAAAGTGAAGAGAAGCTCCTCTAAAAGTCTGCTGGCCAACTCTTGATAAAAAGTCTCAGCCAACAGTATGCTAGCTGGACTGTATACTGATGAAGGGAGATGACTGATGTAAAAATTCACTTCTTTTTTTGTTCCAATTCCTTTTTGACACACAGTCAACTTTAACATTGCATACTTTTGTCTGAGGGCTGTAACTAAGATTTCAAGTTGCTGGGTAAACACTGTGTTTCCTCAAATAATAGCCATCCCTTGATTAATCGCCTCCCTCGAGTAATGCCCCCCTCCCACCCCTCTCTCCATCTTCTCTTCCTTTTATCCCCTTCCTGTTAAGTTGAAGTGCAATGTGATTTGGCAAGATTCAAGCTCTGAAAATTAATCAAGGAACTAAATTTGGAAAACTTAAAAAGCCCATGTTCAGTTTATTTGATGAGATTATTTTTTGATTTAATGGAAAAATAAAACAAAATATTTAGGGCACGACTTTCAATGAGCAATATTTTAAATAATTGCCTCCCTGGAATAATCACCTTCCCTTCAATAATCGCCCCCCTCTGGTGCAAAAAAAGAAATAATCACCCCCGGCTATTATTTGAGGAAATACAGTACATATGTCAGGGCTGTCACTAAGATTCTAAGTAGCCGGGTAAATACAATAAGTAGGCGGAGAATCACGGGGGCCACGTTCTAATTAATAGCCCGGGGAAATTCCCAGTCCCTGCCTCTTAATGACAGCCCTGCTAAAATATTCTGCACTTTCATCATACCTCCGAGACCCCCTGATATAATGAGAAGGGGTACATGCTTCTCATACAACTTGACAAATAACCACTCAACACCATCTCTGTAGAGCAAAAATCAAAAATTAAGGTGACACACAAAAAGAGATATTTTATGTCCACATTATTCTCCAGGTCTTTATGGTACTTGGATAGCGCTACCCACTGGATAAGCTTTAGGGAAACTGATTGGATTATTTATTGGAAAGCACTATCCTGGGGGGGCGGGGGGGGAGTCCCATATAAAATTGCAGGATGCTTATCAGAAAATTCAAATTACACCCCAGGGAGACCAATGTGGGTGTGGCTGAAGCTTTAACTGACCCCTAAGGGAGATTTCTATGTGAGAAGTATCTGGTCAGTTTTTGTTTATTTCTTTAAGCACAGTACTAAGCGATACCTGAATGGGCAAATAAATTGACTTTCCATCCCAAACATCCTAAGTGAGACCAAAATCTGCAACTGACACCCCAAAGCAAGACAAAAAGCCCAACGCTAAAATATTAATTACTTAAATACAAATATAGTAAAACTCCTATTTAGCAGCTTAGTTTTAACTTTTAATTAGTTATCAAATTTTACCTTTTAATTTAGTTTAATAGATAGCACAGGCACAATATTTTTCATTAGCAATAAATAATTATTAGTTCCTGTTCATTTCACTTTTATGTACCAAATTATATTATACCTTTTGATTTATGAAAATTCTACAACTATTTTTAAATATATTTTTTATATATTTTTTATTTTATTATTTTAACTACTCAATAATGGGAATGTTGGGAGAAAGATTAAAATGACAAAATTATTGTTAATAATACTTTTACTATGTTGCATGGCATTCTCCATTTTCGTTCCAGTCTTGATGATGTTAAATGGCTGCAACAAAAATCACTCTGTCCCAATGAGTGAGTTAAAGGCTGAATACACACAGACTTTCTTATGGAATATTTCATTCAATGACAATATAAACAAACCTGATACTCTTATAAGGAAATAAATACTCATTAAGAGCTGTATTTCAAATTGAAAATCATTCCATTTATATTTAAAATCGCCATCATTTAGTGCTTTGACTTTTGTACACATAAGTTTTAGTAGTCAGTATAAATGCATGCAAGGTGCAATAAGAAAAGTTAAAATTCTGTTTGTGGTGAAAATAAGAAATGCAATTTGGCAATAAAGCATTGCTTCTTTGCTTGTTCATAGATACCTCAACGCGATGTGCGCATCTTTTACTATTTCAGGAATTTGCGCTTGCTTGATTTTCAGCTCAATAATGAGTTCATTTCCTTTAGTCCACCTGTAAGATAAAAAGGTTCCAAGAGAACAGATTAAACAATATGTTTGTGGCAGCAAACTAGTAAGTCTTTCCTACCTCAATGCAATGGGAGAATCTTCCACTACCTGTGTGATATCATCCTTCTTCAAACCAAGCTCAGTAATGAGTTCATGAGCTTTAGTCCACCTAGTTTTTCATGTATAAATCAAAATTAAAATTATCACAGTTGTCGATCATAGTGAGCAGAGATGCCAACCTCTGGAGATCTACAATCTGGTGACTCTCTGTTTTGTACCACACCCCAGCCCCCTCCCCCAAATGTAAAAAGCCCTACCACTTCCACTCCCCCACCCACAAAATGGCCCAGCCTCCATATGAAGTTCTGCATGAAGTACATGGTATCAAAATCTGCTTTCATCACTGTAATGATGAAATAATCTTTGTCAGTGACTAAATACCTGCAAAAATGTCCCAGAAACCATACAATATTATTAATAAAAAAAGTCCCGATTTTTAGGAAAAAAATGGGCTAAATTTCAAGCACAGAAAAGCTCAAAACTTGATTTTATCTGGGAGATTGATGACCTGTATGAGAGTTCATGAGATTGGTGCCATATTTGGGAGACTCCCTGCAGTTAAATGTCATATTCTACAGCTAGAATCCCAGGTTTCAAACCAGTGATTTTGTTTTAACTTTATGGATAATTAAAACCAAGGCAAACTTCCCTTCCCCTGCATGACAATGTAATATTTTAATGTAATATCGGTTNCCCACCCACAAAATGGCCCAGCCTCCATATGAAGTTCTGCATGAAGTACATGGTATCAAAATCTGCTTTCATCACTGTAATGATGAAATAATCTTTGTCAGTGACTAAATACCTGCAAAAATGTCCCAGAAACCATACAATATTATTAATAAAAAAAGTCCCGATTTTTAGGAAAAAAATGGGCTAAATTTCAAGCACAGAAAAGCTCAAAACTTGATTTTATCTGGGAGATTGATGACCTGTATGAGAGTTCATGAGATTGGTGCCATATTTGGGAGACTCCCTGCAGTTAAATGTCATATTCTACAGCTAGAATCCCAGGTTTCAAACCAGTGATTTTGTTTTAACTTTATGGATAATTAAAACCAAGGCAAACTTCCCTTCCCCTGCATGACAATGTAATATTTTAATGTAATATCGGTTATTACTGTTCTGAACCATTTTCTTTTCACTAGGAGAATCTACAAAATCAGGATTCCACTGATCATGCAAGCTTACCATTCTATCATAAGAGGTTCTTTTTCTGCAGATGAGATGTCTCTAGAAAATAAAAAATTGAAAACGTCAATACAGTTTTTATTTTATATTCATTAACATCTGCATTTAAACACATTGGAAAATTACAGAAATAATTTTGATTTATGGTTAACGGTATCGTAAACATCTCAATTTTGCTTAAGTTGTTTGCTTAAGTCCAAATTTAAAAGTAAAATAATAATATTACTGACCCAGAAAATTCAATTGGCATATACTTTTCTTTCAGCTCTTTTGCCTGAAAAAAATGAAACAAAATAATGCTATAGTCAGTCAACAATCAAATCACACATTCCAAAAAAAAACAACAAATTAATATCTATTTTTAACTATAATGATCACTTTGCTCCAGATTTAAATTTATGAATAAAGCTATCAATTTCCTTTGTGTCTTAATCAAGTTATGGGTACCATGGATTTCATAAGTTTAGGGCATTTGGAATCTCTTTAGATTTCCTTAGAGCACTGAGCTCAACTTTGTTTGTAGAGGAAAGTATAGTTTTTTTTTAAATGGCTAAGCTTCTTTTAATTATTGATGCTCTCCCTGCAAAAAAAGATTCAGTACTCATTCCACAACACTCCTGTCAAGCTGTGGAGGAGGGTCAGTCAAAAAAATGTTTTTCTTGTTGGTTTGGTGCAAAAAACACTGGGATACACCCACAAGCCTTTTGCTTTAGGTAAGCCACTGCAAAGCAGGGACAATCCTCTGTCGTTCTCCAGTTCTAGTTGTAGCAACATTGCCTAATTCTTGGTTAATGTATAAATATTACAAACTGGAATTTAATGGACTCCTACAAATCACCTTCTCTCTGTATGA